TCTCTCTCTCTCTCTCTCTCTCTCTCTCTCTCTCTCTCTCTCTCTCTCTCTCTCTCTCTCTCTCTGACCCTCTCTCTTTATCTTCAGTCATTGTGGTCGTTGTATATCAGGAGTACTGAAAGATACAACGATTGACATTTTTGAAAGAGCATATCATATCGTGCAGCAGGAGAAAATGACTGGAAGAAGCGACGAAAACCGACGACATGAGTCAAAAATATCGATTTTTTCCCCATACACGGAACGTAACGTTCTACGAAAGGTGAACATTTTTTCAACACGTTTCAACAAGTTTTCAACACGTTTTAACAAGTTTTCAACACGTTTCAACAAGTTTTCAACACGTTTCAACACGTTCTCAACACGTTTCAACAAGTTCTCCACAAGTCTTCAACAAGTTGTCAACAAATGGTCAACAGATGGACCAACATCCTTTCAATAAATGGATCAACAAATGGACACATCAGTTTCAGTTTTCCCAATGTTTGGTCAGCGTTGGTTTCCTTCACTTCTGCCCGCCAAACAATTTATAAACACAGTTCCAACGGTTGAAATGTGGTGTCCATACGTGATTATCCTGTCAGAAAATTTGCCATAATTTTTCTGTTGAGGTCAACTGAGGGCGTGTGCTCGCTCACTATAGTATAGGTATGTGTGGTTAAAACACTTATTGAACTCATGAGTCGTTTGTCCAATAGGGCGTTGATCTTCTAAGAACGAAGCGTACGCCGGTCACTAGGAAGATCTCAACCAAGCGTGAAACCCAAAATTAATCCCGATCCCTTTACAAATCTTTGAAAACAAAACAAAGAAAGTAAATACACCTTATCCAACCATACAAGATCAGTTCGGGCCAAGTCAGGAAGAACGCCAAACTGACATCGATGCCGGTTTTTGACTTGATGAGATGGTCTGCCAAAGTTTTTTATTCCCAGCCTATACGACCGAAGATATTTTCATTTCGCCCCTTATAGGCGAACATTTTCTATTGACAAAGAATTAAAAAAATAACCACCTAACATATGACCTACGAGTAGATCTACCAACTCCCCCTCTAAACCTCGCCATGAATGACTTTTGCAAGTAAATTTCACTGCTACCATGCATATTAACAAATGATCAGGATCCTGACCGAAGTTCGAGCTCTCGGTTTGACCACACCTCCACAACATATACAACTTGCGTAGAGGGAGGTATCATCTTGCGAAAAAAAAATTGTTGGTTGCTTTGTCCTCCTGAGCAATAATTACTCTTTCCCAGACGCTGTCACACTCTCAACCCTCTAGAAAGTGGTCTATGGTACTCCTCCTCCTCGCACGAGCACAGGGCTCGGATCTCATAAGGCGGATCGTCTCCACCGAATCGACAAGTACTCCCCCATAGAACGATCCACTCCGGACCAATAACAGGGCCGGCTCCTGAAACAACGAACTCTCGCCCCAGACTCTTCCTAGAGAGAGAGCGTGTCCACCAAGTAATTTTATTGGTTCTCGTTTTTTCTTTGTAAGTTTGGGATAACTTAGACGAAGAAAGTCAGAGGAGGTAGAAAACGAGGACCATTTGGTTGGGTATAGGAAGATGAGGTGATTCGGAATATAAATTGTTTTCTTAGGGAATGACTAAATTCGTTTGACCTTATCTTCATTATTTGAATCAAATTCATGTTACGGTGCATACTGAATTAACATTTTTCAAAACGGCGCAACCTTCTTGACATGCAGGTAGGTAAGAGGTAAAAAGAAGACGATCATTTTCCTTCTTCTCAAATTGGCATAATCAATCTCCTCTGCAAGCATCCTTCTACCTACCTGCACCCTAAAAAATAACCACAAGTCAAGAAAATCCAGTGACCCAAAAAAAAAAAATATTTTGATTTTTTTTTTTTTTTTAACATAGAAATTATATTTTTTATATGTATCCACTGCTTGTGCTAGACCCAGCTGATTGGCATTTACGAAGGCCCTTGCCAAATATATACCAACAAGTCCCTATACACTCCCAACAAGTCCCAACACAGTCCTAATATGTATGTGGTAATGTGTATTTGAAGTTAACCTTATTATGAAATACTAAAAACTAAAGGAGTTAGAGTTCTGAATCAGTGCGCACATGATTTGCATTTGTATGGGAAAATCATATATTTTGTAAATAATAGATGCTGAAAATGTATGTGGTACTTTGGTATGAAAGACTTGTAATTACCCTCAAAGTACTACGTACCGTTTAGCATAAAAGTACACAACTACTTGTCTTTAACAAATGTAATGAAATGTTTTTGCTAAGAGAGAGAGCGAGAGAGAGAGAGAGAGAGAGAGAAAGAGAGAGAGAGAGAGAGATAGAGATACATATAGAGAGGAAAACAAAGGAGAGGAAAAAAAGTGTTATATGGTACTTTGGACCACAACAATGTTTCTTGAAAAACATGTCGCATATCTTTTTTACATTTTTCATGTTATGATATGTAATAGTTTTGTCTGATTCAAAATGGGCGGCGACGGTTAGCTGCATAGGAAGGATTTTTACTACATTGGCACTGTGTGGACGGTCTCCCCCCCCCCAATAATGACTACCACTGAGTGTTCTTTTGTCGATGAAAAAGAAATGGGGAAAATGCTTTGCTGAAGCATCATTGTAAGTGACAATTAACATTTTTTTCCGCTGATGCAAATAATTTTGGTGTTGCAGCGGCCGACCTACAATGAGTACATAACGTTTGAGTAATCGATTCAAAGGGGGATGTGAAATTAAATGGTGGTTGAAGTGACGTGAAAGTACTTCTGTTAAAATACAGACCTCAGTTTGAATCCAAATGGACTTATGGCCTCGTCACACCACTGTCGAAACGAAAAAACATGAGTGCATGTTCCCACAGGGAGTGGCTTGATGCATCGGCTAATATGAATAGTAAGGGATGCAACTTGCCCCTTTATGGGAAAGACGTTTTGTGTTACGTTTTTTGTTTTCTTTTCGAAAGTTATCTGGAGATACCCTTAAATAAGTTAAATAACTCTACAGGGCCAGTCGACAAAAAGGAAACAAGATTCAGCGGCCTAGCTCGGTTGGTAGGGCACATCAGTGGCATTCAGGAGGTATTGGGTTCAATCCCTATTGGCCTCATGTACCTTCCTAGGCAAGCTTGGCACTCACCACCTAGAGATAGGTCGTTGGTTTCCCCAAGCGGTATTAAGCAAAGACTGTTGATGCTCGTAGGGGGAGGGAACCGGAGGGGGGGCACAACGATTGACCCATCGAAGAAGCTCTCACTTACTCTTGCTACCGGCTGACCTCTCGCCGGTGTCGCCCACCTGCTGTAGTAAGTATCGCGCCTGCTGGTGTGTGCAAACCCCCGCATGTTCCCTCATTGGAGGCTTGAACACGGATGTGGCTGCTACAGAGTTCCCCGTAATACTATAATCACAATAAAAACACGGTCGGGAAGACCGTTCTGACTATATTCAACATTTTTTTTTTTTTTTTTTTGAAAGTTAGAAACAAGGGAAAAAAAAAGAAGTTATTTTTAGGCGCCGAAATATTTTTTGGCGGGGGCCAAACCCCTTCAGGCTCAGGTTCGGACCCCGAACGCCCAAACGTACGGAGGTCCGCCCGGGGACCTTTATACGTACGGGTTGGTAACCCAGCGCCATCCCTTTTTTTTTTTTTTTCCCTATTTTTCCGTAACTTTGGCATGCTAGTACGACCGTCGTACGAACGACCATTCACATGTTCGAACGGTTGTTCGTACGACTGTAAGAAAAAGCCCCCGTGCGACGTACAGGGGTATTCACATGCAA